GCGACGATGACCACCTCCCATCAAGTGGCTCGTCTGCTCGTTTGCCTCCTTCTTTATATAAAAAATGCACTTTTCTAAATTAGTGCTGGTCTGGGTATTCTGGGAAGTGCCCCAAAGTTAATTCCGTTGCTCTGGTACTCATAGTGCAGGGAATTCCCTAGTTTGAGGCCAGGCAATTAGTGTGGTTGTCTGGTACATTATTTCGTAGTTTAAATTACGTGCATCGCTAAACACTGATTAGGTTATACATAGAAGAAGTGTAAACTGTGTCTTAAATGCTTTAATAACTGTCTTCCAATTGACTTTGAGTATTTTAAGAACTCAGGTAATTACAATCTCGTAATTGCACAGTGGAAACCAACTCGTTAAAGTTTTACCCGTAGCTAATTATTCGTAGAATTATAATAACTAGTGCTTTTAGCTATACAGGGTTAGGTCAGATTAGATTAGACGTATACAGATTTCTGTAGATTTTTTGTGTTAAGTATCTCAGTCGGCTAACAGTCAGATGAGGCACAGCTGATGGCAGCCTTCTAAAGGTTTTCTACGGGTGAGGAGAGACGAGAATTGAAATCTCATAGGTTTATTTTCATGAAAAATTGCTATTAATATTTTTGTTTATTTCTCCAAACACTTGAAAATGCTACCTAACATGATTTCTTGACATCCAATGTGTGGATACACCGCAGTTGCTTTTTGTGGAGAAACGTTTCCAAGCGTTACTCAGCAACATCTGATAGCAAGAAGTTATTTATTGTTAGTCTATTTTGCCGTGTTATTATATGTTGAGTAATGTTGCCTAGTTTTAGAAAAACTGTCAACATGTGGTAACATTGTTAGAGAATGTTACCTCAACATCAATAGACTTTCTAAAGTTCGTTTTTTTTTAGCTATTTTAGCACTAATTAAGTTTAAAAGGGTTTTAAAATCAGAGTCTATCACTCCTAAAAAATTACTCCATAGTATAATGTCCTACGGGATTCTCATGTGGGGTAAAGCGGCAGATATTCAAACCATATTTGTATTGCAAAAACGAGCGATTCATTCTGTGTACCGTCAAGGCTCTCGGATTTCTCTAAGAGAAAAGTTTGAGGAGACTGGTATCATGATTGTTGATCGTCACAGTACATTTACTCAAATATTTTATATGCCCGTAAAAATATACATAATTTCAATAAGAAGGAAGATATCCATAATATTAACCTTAGAGCTAAGTCCAAACTCATGGTACCACGATTTCGATTAACCAAGGTAAACGACTCTTTTATGGGAGCATATATTAAGTTTATCATTTCCTAAGTTTAAAAACTATATTAAAAATATTTTGATCGAAAAGTCATATTACAAAATTGAAGACTACGTTTAAGATAAAGATGTATGGAAAGACGAGACGGCTCCAGAATCCACACAAATTTGATTGAAAGTGTATGCCATAGTATTTAAGTTTATTTGAAAAGAGCAATCCATAGAGTTTCTTGCTCGTTCTTCTCAGGGAAGTCAGCGTAGTGAACGAAGAGTAGTTTAATGTAATGTAAATGTGACGTTTTCAAGTGTAAATTTATTTTACCTATGGAATAAATGATCTTTGACTTTGACTTTGATTCAAAATTCCACCAATACGTAGACTGCAATGCATTCACTTCCACGATATTTTTCTATTAATAATAAAGTGATTATTAGTTATTGATTGATCGCTGACCAGTCAGGCAACATCCAAACCTCAAAATCCAAATCCACAAAAGGGTTCAAACTGTGTTAGCAGATAGTACCGTTGCCGCGACGGCGGGCAAGCATCAATCGAATTGTTATCAACAAATGGCTTACAAGTAAACTAAAAGGAACTGTAGTGCCAAAACCAGTACAATAAAACTGTTCATTTGGGACCCAGAAAAGAATAAAATATGAGAAAGATGTTCAAGGAGTTAGTACAGTTTAAAGAAGACTTAAACTATGTTAGATAAATAAGTCGCAGTGTGCATCAAGAAAGTGGCGAGTAAGTGATAAATGTGTTGTAATTCAACAACGAGTGAATGTGAGTGAAATACAAGGTCTTAACATTAGGAGAGTCTGTGCTGTCTCTATAAATATGTCAAAGTACAAGTAGCAACAAAAGTTACTGATAGTCACCTAATTTTAACGTGTCGCACAGTGTTGCTCCACAAAAGGTAATTGCGGTGTGGATACACCTTACACCTACATCGGTTTGTTTGGGTGCTGCACAATCCTCTCACAAACCTATGCCCACAGAAAAGTAACCTATTTTACTTTCGAGTACAGAATTGAAAAAATTAACAAAAGAATAATGTGTATATCATTACTGTACTGTACAGTAGTGAAGATTCTGTGCTCTTCAGTTCATCTAGCAACACGCGACTGAAGTAACAAGTTACGTAGATACACTTTATATTACAATAAATGGTTTCTATTTCTATTTCTAAATTATTATTAAATATATTGTCATCGTCGTCATCCACAGCCCGACTTCAACCGCTGCTGGGTATAGGCCTCCCGTAGTTTATTTCCATCCACCTCTATCCAGTGCTAATCTTACCCATCTACTGCCCGCAACTTTGACAATGTCGTCCACCCATCTCGCTACAGGACGTCTCACGTTTCTATATCCATTTCTTGGCCGCCATTCGGTTATCGCCTTACTCCACCTGTTTTCACCACGTCTCGCAACATGTCCAGTCCGGCTCGATTTTAAACTCGTTATCCAATCTCCCATGTCCTGGACCTTAGTTTGTCTATGGATTTCGGAATTCGAAACTCGATCCCTAAGTTTGATGCCGAGCATGACTCGCTCCATGGCTCTTTGTACCTACAACTCTCATTCTGTACGCAGCCCTCTGTGTATACGTCCACGTCTTGACTCAATGTGTTAACGAAAGAAAAATCAAATGACACCATCTTTTTTTAATTTCAAATTGTACGTATTCCATAATCTCGCGATAGGTAACACTGTCCAACTTCGTTAACGTGTCATGGCCGACTGTCGTCACGCATTCTTCATATTTTCTTATTGTCTACACAAAAATCACGGCTACAACTATACTTTCATACTACAAAGTCACCAATTCGATTGCGTGAAGACGAACACATAAAAAAATCGAGGCCCAATAGAAGCTCAGTCCTGCATAAAGTAACCCCGGTGTTGGGTCCCGGCTGAATCCATCTCTAACGGACCAGACTTGTTGGCTTCTTCTTCAATGAAACTCCCGTATTACTTCATAATCTTCCGGTTTATTGAAACTTACTAACTGAAAGTGGACTGTACCTATACATTTCCTTATAAACATATTTGAACACCTTATCTCTATGTCCATCTGACTTACAAGTCGAAATATAAAATCGAACAACGAATCGGAATATCGAATAAGAATGAAAGTGAATCAACCAATCTTACAAGATTCTCTTATATATATGACGATACGGTGTCTCCCACATCGTACAGGCCCTATCAATCTGCCGCGGATACCGCCCGGCCAATCAGAGCTCCCGAATTATTTACGTAATTCTACTCATATATCGCTCTGACCGGCCAGACGCGTACGGCCGTCCGTAACACCCAGGGTTACATCCGACACTCGCCGGTGATTTTTTCTTATGTGCTTACATTTGATGATGACTTTGACATTCAAAGGGTTAATAGCCATCGCGAGCTTACGCGAGATCGTGCGGGCACTCATGAGCTCGCGCGAAAAATCGTGTTTCCATTGCAAAGTATAATAATCTATGCAGGCAGCAATGCCTAGTAGCTACCAATGGCTTGGCGAAATCTGATGTCGACTCACTTTAAATCATAGTTTAATTTGAGTAGTTCATCATTCCGCTAAAGCAGTGAAAACATTATCTTAAAGTTTTGGATATAAGTTAAAAATATAGTATAATTATGATAATCAGGTTAAGCTTACGTTAGTAATGACATTCAAATTTAAATTATTTGATGTTTTCCGTAAAATATGTAAATTTCGATTTCAGAATATCGTAATCGTAGTTAAGTAATCGATTAAAAATTAACTTAACAGTTTTGATCGAAGGTTAATGTCTTATGAAGTAACATTTTACTGGATTAATGTATTTCTCAATTAATAATAATAACAGCATATGGTTTCAAACTAGAGAATTCCCAGTGAATACCAAAGCAACTTAATACACTCCGGATGACTACCTGGAAAACCCAGATCAAAACCTAATTTACAAAATTCTTTAATTAATTTAAAAAATTAATAATTTCAAAATTTCATTTCACCTCCTCATCCAAAGACAACAATGTAAGCCGTTAGGCCATTGAAGTCGTCAAAGGTATGCATTTAGGTTATCTATTTGTATTTATGTGTGAGTATATAATATACACATACGTAATAAGTTTCAGATGTATATACATTGTGTCTGAGAATTTTTTTAAAGTATATTCCGTGATAGCCTTGCCGCATAAAAAAAAGATCCGTTGTTAGTACAAGATTTAGATAAGTTTTAACACCTTTACCTATTTTCAAGTTCTTCTTTATCATTAGTTTTTTTAGTTCATAAGATCACACAATTTATAGTTTTCTGAACAATTATAAATAAATACAATTGTGAATGGAATGCAGATTTACTGGTCTTTTTTTCAAATATGGTCTTATTCTTCAAATAATAATGTTATAGAAAGTGTTTTCTATAATGTGTACCATTATAATAAAAATAAAAATAACAATAAATAAACATACGTTATGATATCGAGTTTTTCGGTTTTCGCGATTGTTACACATAGGAAATGATACTATTTTTTCGGATCTAAATAGCGTATATTTGTGTTTTCAAAGAAACCAATACGTTGTGATATTTATGGAAAACATGTTGTCTTTATAAATATACTTATTTATTTTCTTATTGGACATGTTCTGTCCGCTATGTTTTTCAACACATTTGTTTATTTTTGTTTAGTTACACCGTATTATTATAGTCTGTGTAGAATTAGTTATTAGGAAAGTAACTGAAATTTCTTTGTCTTGCAGTGGTTTGGACGTGGTCTCCGTCCGGCAGCTGGTGGTCTTGCTCCGTCTGCTTTCGCGCCAGGGCCGCACTATCGTCTGTACTGTCCACCAGCCTTCTGCCTCACTGTTCGCTCTCTTCGACCGCGTCTACGTGCTGGCCAGGGGAATGTGCTGCTACCAGGTAATTGTCTGGACCTCTTTAACATCAGTTACAGACGCCCACAAAGATTTGAATCCTCAAGTTAAATATATGTAAAGCAACCGATACAAAACCGTGTACGCCAAAAAGCAAATAAATGTCGGTGCCTCCAATGAACACTACAATTTTTTTTCAATCTTGTAGTGTTGAATTTTGTGAAAAAAGTAAAGCAACAAAAAACAAATTCGGAAAAAAACAAAAAACTAATGTTGTGTAAAAAAATAAAAAACAAAATAAAAACAGAACAAGTCCAAAAATAACTCGGCGTAGTCGGCATTTCAGGTATCGATATGCAAGCTTACAATCGATATAATGAGACCACATACGATAATTCTATTGTAAGTAGTTGAGAAATTGCAAAGTTTATAGACTGATCAAGGTTACCATACTATTGTATGTCATCAGATTTCCATAGTACCTTCCTATATCACATTTCAAGTCGATCGGATAAGCGGAAGTAAAATAAATATTCATTTTATGACTGAGATCCATACATTAACTATGGTACCGACACGCTATGATGGCCGTTTTGACGTTTGTCCGCTCATCAAGTTTCGTATTATTTCATAACAACGTTGAAAGAGCTAATTGCAGTAAAAATTATGGAATGTATAATTTTACGACACAACTCGGCATTTGTTTTTCGAAATTCGAAATTTAAAAAAATGTAATCTAATACGATCGTCACATATGGGATCGCTGGCCAGCACAACTTTTCCGGCAAACTCGCGTCAAAGCTCAATGCAAAACAATGCAGCAGTTTTGAATTGACGGTATATTAAGTAAACATTTTTTTATCTACACACTCATAAACCCTCTATGATGTGTTCAAAAACCGCAAATTACGCCCAGCATAAACTATTTTGTTAGAACAAATATCTTATCTGTGAAAATGTTATTATTGTACATTATTGCATAATAATTACATCGAATTCGATTTTATTATTACATTCAAATTTCGAACATCTCTGAAAAACAAAACAATTTTATTCGACCTCATTCTAATGTCAGTCGAGATGAAGTTTTATTCGAAAAAATGTCAATAGCAAATAATTTTGACAAATTTCTAAGTTTGTCTATGAATTAAAAAAGCTACAGTTGCGTGATATGCGTGAGAAAAGTTTTTATATGCCGCCATTTGATCATAGATAGATAGCTTATAATATGTGTAATAGATAAAGCAGTGTACGTAACTATACATAATTAGGCATTAAAACAGTCGTGAACCCACTCTCATACTTTGATGCCATTCATTATGTAACAGTCACATAAACTATTGTTTTCGTTTAATTAAAACTTTTTAATCAGCTACCTCTTGCGATACTAGTTATAAATCTAAAAAGTTGTAGATTGACTCGCATTTCATTATATTTTTTTCGTTAATGAATTGACATTTGATGATAATTAATCTTGGCCGAGAGCGACATATAGCTCGAGGTACTGCTATTCCCACATAGAGATCGTGCTAGCCCTACAGATAAGTGTATTTTCTTTAAAAATAGATAAGGAACATCCCTATATAGACTGCGCCGGGGCAGCGATACGTAATTGCGATATAATTGCGTTCGTTTGATCCCTAGCTGTATCATCATTACTAAAGCTTTAGATATGAAATTAATGCATAAGGCATTTCTCGAATTTACTCTGCAAATTATACACTTTAGAAACACAATTTGCTTGTTGTTTCCTCGATAGAAAAAAAAATCCGAAATTATCTCTAGAGAACAAAATAAACTCTTAGTGCGGCGTAAATACGTCACGAAAGGTCGTCAGTTTTTAAATAATAACAAAACTACATGTTTTCGATAACGTATACACCGTACATTTTCAAACACATAAATTCATACGCAGTCCACTCATATTAGCCAGAGCCAGAGGTTCTCAAGCAGTAGAGTTCTGTGACGGTGTGACCTCCTTACACCGTCATCTCACCTTTTTGTATCGCCTCTCTCCGCTTGTATCCTATCATTTATTCTTTGACTTGTATTTAAATTTTAAATTTGAATTATTCCATCTTCCATCGCTTTCTCATTTTATTTTCGTACCACGGTGACTCCCTGCTCGACCGCCACAACAGTCGGAGCTGTTTCAAATTCCATCGCGTATAATCGCTAATTTTGGTTCTTTACTACGTTTATAATCGTCATTAAATAAGCTAAATCATATGTAATAATCTATAACAGTCTACAGCCTTCATGTACCTAAGATTACGTATCTGTAATTCAGTTACTCGGCCCATTTAAGGGTAAGTGCCTTAATATCCATCATAAAGTGTAGGGAGTGTTTCTATACTATTGTACCTGTTTTTTACATTTACCTTTTTATTGTTACAGCCTATCGTTTTACTTTACTTCTTTTAATTAATTTTGTGGACTGGAAGTTTCCCGTTTCATTGCCGTGAACCTGGTCACGGCTAGTTAGGATTACAACCCTTTCACTGGCGCCCGAACTGTGATGGTGTGACCTCCTTACACCGTCATCTAACCTTTTTGTATCGTATCATTTTTTCTTTTGCTTGTATTTAAATTTGAATTGTTCCATCTTCCTTCACTTTCTCATTTTTGCTTCGTACCACGGTCACTCTCTGCTTGACCGCGATAACGGACAGAACTACTAAATCAAATTGTCTAATATTTTATTCTTTTCAAGTTTAATCATATTACAATCAATGTAAATCATGTATCGACCATAATAAGCGAATAACAGTCTATCCAATATCTGTAATTCAACATGATAAAACCCAATAAGGGGTAAGTGTCTAAATAAATAAGCAAAATTAACTTCTACCATTTTTTAGCTTAAGTTAGGGAGTGTTTTTTTATTAATGTACTGTTCTACATCATTAATGTGTTTTCTACATCTATATTTTATTTGTTGCAGTTTTTTTTACTTTACCTTTTACTTTACGTTAAATAAATTTATGGACCGGAAGTTTCGAAGTGACGGGTGTCGTCAATTATTTCACTTGCAATCGTCCAGTTTAACTTGAGCTTTGCTATAAGAGACGAAAACTGAAAAATTACATCTTTAATATTTAATTACCGATGAAATGTGATTTCAATTGTTGTTTAATTAGATGTTTCGCTGTTTTTCACACACCACCGAATGGAACAGCCCCTGATTGTTAGAAATATTATCTTTATTGCAATAAATACAGAATGTTTTTGGAATATACGAAGCCATACACACAGGTTAGTTGTTGGCGCTGTACTATTTCAGCTTTCTAATTTGTGATTTCAGCGCAAACGAGAGTTGATATTTAAAAGTGATATAATGCCCATTTGCCTCATGTGTTGCCAGTGATGGATGGCCCTTATTTCGTCTCTATTTCTGGTTATATACTCGATGGTTCAGGGTTAAAAATATGCCTCAAGTACTTCTTTGTCAGCAAAGTTAATAGCTGCTTTTCTATTCCTATTTCTCGTCTATTCTGCAATGAATACATTTCAATCAGTTTTTTTTATGCTGAGTTGGAGTTCTTGAAACGGGTTTTCCGTCGTAATTATTCTTCAAAACAAGTTTTTTCAAAGTTACAAAGCTCCACCGAGGGCAGGAAAACATTTCAAGTGCTCTAACTGAGCAGAAAAACTGATTCAATGTATTCATTGTAAAATGGTTGGAAGTGGAAAGAGAAAAACGGTTTTGTAAAATCAGGAAACTTCGTACAGTGAACTTCTAGTTATTCTTAGTTCCACGCTTCTACCATGGGTTTAGATAGCCTAATGAGATAGCTAGTGTTTCCTAATTAAGTGTTCACGCGTTTACGTTTAGGTTTCTTTAATATATATAATATCAAGTGACAGGACGAATAATTCGTGCGCCCGATGGTAATCTACACGCGTGTCCATAACAGTTGCAGTGTCACTCCGAGCTTTATATCGCAAAGATCTGAGGGGCACTGCGCCCGTCACCCCGAGACATAAGTTGGTTAACAAGTCCCATGTGCCTGTAATTTCACCAGCACCTGTACCCTTCAAAACCAGATTGTTGTGTAAATATAATCTTTATTTAGTTTATGCAGTTTACTTATTTTTATAGAAAGAAGTCCTTTTAGTTAACACTCCGTTAATTTTCGGTACAATCTAGTAAGCAAATAGGGTTATTTGTTTTTAACCGACTTCAAAAAAGGTCCTCCTCGGTTCTCAATTCGACTGTATGTTCTTTTTTTTGTATGTTTTTCATTTTGATGATTCTTTTTTGTTGGAAAGAGGTTACCTCAGTATTGGTCCCATTTAAATATGAAGAAAATATTCCACCTCTAAGGGTAGCGTATAAGGGATGAAATCAGTTTTATTGAATTTTATCCACTTTCCGTTAGCCGTTTTCAATAAAACTCGGTAATTGCACAAACTTTTCATGTTGGCATATTTTTTTTTTAATTTTTTTAACAAATAATATTCTTATATGATGCCAAGAATAAACCAGTTTGATGGACTATGACTTAAGTCTTTGCATACAGGAGAACCGTGCACGACAGTGGAACAGACTGACACAGTTGTTTCATTTGATTGGTATTAAATCGCCAGAATGTCCTTGTATGTGTAAGGTATTATTTGAGACAAAGAAAGCTTTGAGCTTTCGTTCTTTGTGAGAAATTGTTTTCGGATAGAATGGTGTTTGCGTTTTCCAACAAAACTAATATGGCGGCCCACTACTATTTTTAAATTTTAAAATTAAATCTAGAAATATAATGTTAAGTTAACAAAGTTTAGTTCGTTTTAACTAGAAATGAAAAGCAAATATGGCGCGGAACAGAATAAAATTCTTTAGAGTCCCTCCAGTGAAAACGTTTCTCGTTGAAATTCTTTGAGTTAAGTAGTCGTAGTCTTGTTCTATTATGCTGTCGGGTAAAGTTATTCCACAGAAAATTGTCACTAGTTGATTTTTTCTATTTATATGTATATTGCATCGTGGATAACACAAAGAAATGTATCTCGTACAAATATATGGACCCTGTTATGTTGCAATCTATAAGCATACGT